CATAGCAGGGAGCCTCTTCGGACCATCAAGCCTGTAAATTTATGATTGCACATTAATCAGTGAAATATAATTGCTAGCTGCTGCCTCTGGGCTTGGGGCGCATTGTATATGCCAGGATATATACAATTAGCCCCAAGGTTTGCTCAGGAGCACTCGCCCATCCAAGAAGAAAATGAACATTACAGTAATTGAGAAAATGAACACCTTGGGTTATTTTCTCGCTGGCAATGGTTAGAAATTCTTACCATTGAATCACCTTGCTTTGTTTTTCATTATCTGGCAAAAGCATTGGTAGGCAAGAAGCTGGAGTAATCCCCCTTATCCATGGGGGATACTTCCTAATACCTCCAGTGGGGTCGGAAACCCATGGTAGGACCTGAATCCTATATATACCTCATTTTTCCTATACATACACACCTACAATAAAGTCTAATTTATAAATTAGACACAGTAAGAGATTGACAATAACTCTGATAAAATAGAATAATTACAGCAATACACTGTAATGAAAGTTATTACTTCTATTGTGGTTTCTCTCTCTCAAAAGTCTTATTGTACTGTACTTACCCTTCTTCATCCTGTGATGATGTGAGTTGATAAAATGCCTGTGTGATGAGATGAAGTGAGCTGAATGGCATGGACACTGTGTTGTAATGTTAGACTACTATTGCCTTTCTGATGATGCATCCAGACCTTCTGCTTCCAGACCACAGTTGACCCCTGGTAACTGACACTTGAGAAAGTGAAACTGTGGGTAAGGGGGGACTGCTGTATTTGGCACACATAGAATTTTAGCTTGTTTGGGGTGAGGAAGATGAACTGCAAGAGGAGGAAATATGAAGTTGTGGTGCAGTACAGACTCAGTGCTTGTACTTCCTTTCTTACATCTTTCACTAGGTGGAATGGGGCATTGGAACTTGACCTGGGAGTTCTGGAAATCTTCTGAAAGTGTATGTACAATTTTAGCTGTGTATACATCTGTAGTTATTTTTTTTTCTCAGTGTATATAGCTGGCATTAGATGCTCAAAGTCATCTATGATAGCAAGAAGTTTAGGAATCATTACACTAAAAACCCCACCTCATTCATTCTCTGATTTTAAGCTATTTTCTCTGTAGCATGCTTAAACATGTACTTGGACACACCAAACACCTTCTTCAACTTTTCTATTGCTAATTCATCTCCAGCAAGCCCTACTACTGTTTTCCCTATTTATGTTAATAATAAAACATTCATTTAATCATTCTCTTCAGAAATCTAGGCATTCATTTCTCCTCTTTTCCTTTGTTCCCACTTTTTATATCTGTGTAATGATGTGGTTGAAAGACAAAGTATCTTCTCTCCTAGAATCTCACTTACTTTGGTGAATGGCTGCTCTGAGTGCTCTATGCAGCCCTTACTCAAGGACAAATAGTTTGACAAGGTAATTATAGGAGAAGAATAGAAAATGTTTCATTAGACCAAGATAGAAGGAAAGAGCCAGTGAGGTCTAGTTTATGGGACAAATGCCTAGATAGCCTTTTGCTCTGAGGTGAATGAATTAAAAGAGGGCCTTTCCCAAACCAGTCTAAAGCTTAATGTCTTAGCACAGTGATTATGCAGGGGAAGGTACATAAGCTGCAACCAACCACATGCAGGCTGGGTTTGGGAGTCCAATAATCTTTGAGATGACCTGCTGTGAATTCTGCTCAGTAGCAATGCTTCATACTTAGTGACGCAGAAGGACCCAGGCAAATTCACAATTTGGAAGCAATACAAATGCCAGGTAAGCAAAGAAAATGCGGGCCACTCAGTGAAGGTTCTATCTCTTAGCAAAGTTAGGCGGATTTTCCCAGTGTCTTTGCCTCCCATTCCTGAGGAGGAAATTGTTTTTCTAAGGCCTCCCTTTTCCAGATATTTTTACAATAGATTCATTCTTGTAAGCAACCTGTGTATCTTTTCTTTGAAACTTTAGTTAAAAGTAAAGAATTCTCTACTAAAGGTCTCACAGGTGTTTATTGATACCTGGAATTCCAGTCACTAGGTACAAAGCCTTTCATTCCAGAAGGAAGGATGAGGAATAAGGGAGGGGAAGAAGGAAGTCAAGTAATATTTACTGTGCATCTGTCATGGGTCAGGCAGTGGCGAAGCCCTTCATTCAACCATCTGCTTGTATCCTTGATCCTGCCTGCCAAGGTAGATGTAATTTCCCAGAGGAAGAAATTAACGTCAGTGAATTGATGCAGTTTGCCCAAAGTTAGTCGCCCTTTCCTTAGGGAAATTGCCATGACTATGACACCAGCACTGTGACCAGGGCAAGTCGCCTAATGTTTGGCACTTAGGGAAGGCTATAATGATCCTTAATTGTACCCTTTGGTTATGTTTGGACCCGGAGGGCGGCAAGAGGAGCCTGGAGCTAGCTATGGAAGAGCGAGGAAGTTCGATGTGGAGCTGGCTGCTTACCTATTTCCTCTCAGGTCCAGTCACCTCCCCTGTGTGTCCTCTGTGCTATTGCTCGGGCACTCTGGAAACTACATTTTCAAGATCCCTTTGCCAAGGGGGTTAGTTCTCTTTAGAATCTGCTTAGGCCCACTGGAGAGAGACAGAAAATAGAGGAGCAGAGAAGGGACCTCTCTCCCCTCTTCACCTGTTCCTCCGGTGTGAGGCAGTGTGCGGCCCTAGCTGCAAGAGCTGGTTCTGACCTGTAATCACCTTCAGTGCTCTAAGGACCGGTGTGTTCAAACCCACTCAGAGGTACCAGCAGTGGCCGATGGTCCCCCGACTCCTCCGAGGCCTGAGCACCAATTCCTCAAGCTCCTGGTCCAAGCTCCTGGTTCTTGTAACCCCACCTCTTCCTTTCCTTCTCCTAGCCTTAGCTCAGGGTGTTAACTGCTTCCCCACCGGCCTAAGCTCCCTTTTTCTTCCTTCAGTCGTTTGTTCAACATTTAAGGTTGTAACCAGTTCCCTGTATGACATCCTTTGTATTTTGAAATGTGGCATTGGTTTGTTTCCTGACCAGATGCTGATTGTGTGTGTTTGTGTGTCTAAGCTGTGGAGGAGATGGACATCTTGGGGCCCCAAAGGCTGGAGAAAAACAGAATAATCTCTGACCTGGTCCGGCAAACTGCTTGCCCCTTCAAGGGACTGTGAGAGGAGGCATTGTATGGACCAAGACCATCCTGGAAGAAAATGTCTTAACTCCCTGTTAGTCTCAGCAAGAACATTCCTTATGCACGGAACATGTGAGGTTTGGAGAGAGGCCGTAGATGACATGTCTCTTTAAAGTAAATGTAAGAGGCCACACCAGGGGAATCAGATTTTCATGTTGTAGCCTCTTTTTGTAAGTCAAGTGGAAAAGAGAATCATTTGCAATTTGATCCCTTTCACTAGAGACACCAAAGTGGTCTGCCCTCCTGTGTCCAATCCTCTTACCTTCAGAGAGCTTGAGCTGAGATGGTGTGTAAGACTTGATCCTTCCCCCACCACAAATTACCCAGTTTTTCTTTTTACTCAAATGTCAGTGAATGCTTTCAACTATTTTCTAAAGGAACAAATTACCTATTTATTAAAATGAGTTAACTGTAGCTTGCTGACAAACAGCATTTCATTTTCAGGAACAGCTGTCAGACTTTTAAAACATTAAGAGCCCATCAAAAACATTTCAGAAAGTACAGCCAAAACCATATAAGTGACTTTCTAAAATCTGTTCTGCTCATATGTACTCAAGGTAATTAACTGGTGTAGTAGTTTTCATATTCTGGGTAGATATTTTTTGTTTTTTAATGTGTCTCAGAAATTTTCATGGATATATTCACCTTAAGGTCAACAAAGGTACACCACATGAAGCAATGAAGATAAAATGACCATGTTCCATTGGAAACTTAGACTCTCTCCAAAGGTGATGAGGCCTTGTTCCGTGTTAGGGAGGCATATTTACTTATACCTCTCCTTTGGTTAGGCTTCTCCTTCACTCTTCTCCAAATGTTTTCTCATGCAGAGCCCTCCTGGGGCCCACCAGATGTAGTGATCAAAAGGCCCAGCTGGGAAAGTCAAAAGGCTTCTGCACACTAAGCAGTTTGGAATAGAAAATCTGGAGTTCCAGCTGGATTCCCATTTTTTGAAATGTATTTTATATATTCTTGTCTCAATTTCTCGATGTAAATAAGATTTCCAAAACCAAACCCATAGAAGGGTTAGGCATGCTATGACTGTCCCTTGGAGATTTAGCACATAAATTATGTGTGAAAGACTCTGAGAAGTCCTGCAGTAAAGAAACGAATTTAACTTTCTGGAAGGAAGTGATTTCCACATTTATATGACCTTGAAACATTTCTTTCATTTTACATTTTGAATGGCACAATACTCCGAACTAATTTTCCTTAGAACACATTTTTTGGATACTGTGTATACATGAAAGAAGGAAGATGAGGACATTTTCAGCAAAAGAGTGAAGTCTGGAGAAAAATTAGATTCAGTCATATTTACTTTGTGAAAAATATGAGGCATCTTACACCAAGACTCTCTGAAAGGGATAAACTGTTTTGAAGTAGTTTACAGTGAAAAGGGAATTTAATATTTCACAATACTGAAAAACCCAGGGTAGACTTGGCTTCAGACACTGCTAAATTGAGAGAATGAGCAGTATTTTACTCCACCTCCAGTGCTGCCATTATCCTGAGTCCTAGCCTAGTCTCTGTAAGCCTATGCTTTCTATTTGTGGCAGCATGGTAGATAGCTGTAGAATGTCCAGCCATCTGTGTTTTCAGGATGGAGTGCAATGGGAAAGAGACTCCTTCTTTGGTGGAAGGTCAAATTAATTGAGAATGGAGGCAACAAGGACCTAAAATGGAAACTGAGGATTGTTGCTATAAGAAGAGAGAATGGGTACTAGAGGAGGCACACAATCAAAATACCAGAACAGTAATTGAGTGCATCTTCCTGGTCTATTTTCTGTTGGGTTAACAGGAAAAAACAACCCTTAGAGCATTGCTGTAAAAGTATGTGTGTTTACTTGATTGACAGGACAAGAGGAGAAGCTCACAGTGTTGACTGGATTCCCCTACTGCCCTGGAAAAAACTGAAAAGAGATCCTGGTTAGAAGCAGTCACTGGTGGAGTGGAAAAGAAAGCAGAAGCCCTTAGAAGAAAAGGATGTAAATGACCATTGAGCGCCTCTACATTGGAAATATGGCTCCAGTAGTTTGCACTTGCAGGTGTCCCTGAGCCAAGGAAAGAAGATGAAAAAGACAAACAAGGGAAAAGGGAAGCCTGTGTCTCACCTTTATTGAATCTCATTCCTTCGGTCTCCACCATTTCTCCCCATCCCAGTGTCTATTTCCCTACAATTTTCCACTGCTTAGAGGGTTACCCCAGTTCTTCGCTTTACCATTCCTTCTTTCCCTTTGAGATCTCCAGAAACTGGTCTCTGCAAATGATCACACAGCCCCTGACCTCTGTCATTTGGATCCAGAAGTCTCCTTATTTTTGCTGCCTAGTAAGAGGTGGAATGTAAATTATTATTCATTGTAAATAGGGAAGATACTTCTCTTGCATATCAAAGATGGCAGTCTGAGTGATTTCCCTTCTTCCCACTTGGGTCAATATTTTACATGTATTAATGTTCAATCTTTGTGTGTATGTATGTGTGTGAGAGAGAGTTACACTGCTTTTATGGATTGTTGCCCAAAGTACCTCATAGACTGGCCCCTGCCTCCCTTCCAGCTTTCTCTCTCATCATTCTCTGATTTACACTTTATGCTCCATCAGGGCAAATCTCCTGTAGTTCTCAGTGCATCCTTATACCGTACATGCTGTCTTGGGTTGGGTTCCCCAGAAACAGCCTAAGATGGGAATTCGTGTACCAGGGTTTTTTTTGAGGGAGTGCTCTCGGGAGAACCTGCAATGCAATGAGGGAAGCAGGATAGGGCAGGGGATGAATCCAGGCAAAGATATGTGTTCATCTGATCCACGCAGAGCTCTGGAGCAGGGATTATACCACCAAATTTTTCTATTTTGAGGGAAGAGGACTGGCTTTTTACATTTACATCTCCTTATCAGTCCATTATTGACTGTGGGCTGCTTTTGGAAAAGGGGGAGCCTCGCAGACATCCCCGAGTGAGCCACCACCCCCAGGCTAAGAATGGCTCTCAGGAGAAGTCGTAGCTGTAAGATGGCTGAGCAGATGGGAGCCCTACCACAGCTACTCCGAGTGTCTGCTCACATAGTTCACTCCACGGAAAATAATCGGCCTCTCCTGCTCCACTGCCTGAAAATGTGCCTTCGTACCAGTGGTTTTCAAACCTCAACGTGCATGCGAATCACCCCGAGGGCCTGTTAAAACTCAGAATGCTGCCTCCCACCGCACAGATTCTGATTCAGTCACCCTAAGGTGAAGCCGCATGATTTTTATTTCTAACAGGTTCCCAGGCGGGGGTTGAGGCTGGTCTGAAGCCCGCACTTCCTGAGCATCGGTGGTTTAATAGGTTCTTCCCATCCTTCACAATTCAACAACCCCATCCCCATCTGGGATGAGTACCCTTTTTGCTTCACAAATACCCTATGCATTGGGCACACAGCACTGGAGTTATGGAAGGGGAAGATTTTGCTCCAGGCGTAGCTAGAAGGCTATGAGGAGTCCACCAGGAGAGTAAAGGATGATACATGCTTAGACTTCCAAGGAAAAGCTTTGAATGGATTTCCCATAAAAATAAATTCTGTGTCATTACCTTGGAAATTCTTGAGGACAGCACACTGTCTTATTCATCTTAATATATGTGACCCTTGAACCTCACCTGATACCTTGTAGGAATCCAGCATGGGTTTGTTGAATTAATATCAATCTTGTATAAAATTAGTTTTATGGGAAATATGTTTAACTTATCTAAGTTAACTACTTACATAACTTAAAATTTATTGAACTTATTTATGGGAAATTACTTCAACTGATAAAATTTTGGAAAATAGTTTAATTTTTAGTTGAGGGTTGCCTCCTCTAGTACTCAACATCTATCCCTAAATGTCTGTAGAAAGACATCAACCTGACATTTTTACACACACAAATGAGTCACTTCCAAAAATAAGCACCATTTCTGGCCCTACACTTACTTAATTCATGAACCTGTAATTTGCCTTTGGAAAAATCATCTCATAAAATGATGATGACTTGAGGTTTAAGAAATATGGCACAGCGCTAGAAAAAGGTAAACTTTGTGGCACCACTGCAAAAAACAAAATGTAAGCAGCATTTAATGTCAGTAGCTGTTTAATGCAAGCATTCACTGTAGCAGACAGTCTTCCTTTAGAAAACACAGGCCAATGACAGGGGATAACAAATAGATGCCATTCCAGAGAAAGTAGGAGTCTTCTTTCCAGAAGAAACATGATAATTGGGGAAAAAATTAGCAAAAGGTGACTTTGGAAGAGTGTCTAGGGAGTATATAATACAATGGCTCTTCAGGTATATATTCATCAAAGCTGTTGACGTACTTCTCTTATTAGTCAATGTTTAAAGTGTTGTTTTAAGGAAATGTTGCATCTGGGAAGTACCAGAGGCAAGAGGGTCTGGAGTGGCTGCCATTAAACCCCTTTGCTAATTGGACACACCAGCTACCACTACAACATTGGGCTACAGCTTTACCTGACAGGTTCAACAGCCTGCATTAACTAAACATTTAGAATTAACATGTTTACTTTAAGAAACACAAAGTCTGATTCAATTAGCATCTGAAGTCATGGAGGCTACAGAATTTAATGTTGGAGGTTCTTCTTAAAAAATTATAATCCAATGTTTATGGAACGTAATGATGAGATGTATGTTTTTTTTTGTCTTAGAGGCTGAAAACATAAAATATTGGATTAAAATTAAGAAGCTACTCCGACATGATCTATTAAGAGCTCTGAATGATGCCTAAGGATGTAGAAGAAGAGAAAAACACTTGAGTAAGTAAACAGGGTTCATGAGACTTGTTTATGCCAGGAAAGCAGGATGAATATTTCTGTCTAAAAGTTAATTAACTATTTTGCCTCAGCGAGCCAATTTGTCGTCTTAAACTTTGATTCATTAACTGCGAGCTGAGAGGGCTGCTTGTTCCTTAGTGTACTTGGAGACTGAGTTTGTGTTAAATGATGCTGTGAGATATTGTCTGTTCTTTCCAATGGAAACTAACCAAAAAGGCTATTATCCTGAAAGTAAGACATTTTAAGTGGCAGTAAGTAGATGGGTACTCTTTCCTAGCAAAACCTAAAAACGATATGACTTAATTGCAAAGCTAATCAGCCCTGATTAACTAAAACAAGGGTAAATCCAGGATTTCCGAGTCTGCACATTTAATGGGGCATGGAAGTTGCCCAGTTGGCAATTCTGAAGTCCTAAGACTCGTGAGCTTATGGGGGATGCCCCTGCAGGTTTTGCCACTTGCAAACTGTAACTTAGGGGGGAAAAAATGTTGTGATGAAAAAATAAATCTCCATATGTCACGATATTGGCTTCATTTCTAGTTGCCACATGTTTTCTGAAAGCCCATTGCTGGTTATGGAGCATCTTTGAGCTCATGAATGGACAACTGGAAAGAAAAGCATATAAGGGAAAAGTCTGTCATGATACCCCATCCTCCTGGGATAATGATCCTTATGATTGTAACCACAGCTGCAGAAGATATTTGAGGAGTCAGAGTATATGATTTTTAAAGGGAGAGTTTGAACACAAACACAGGACAAGTCCTAACTCTGTATCATAGAACATATTTGAGAATATCTGTGAAAACTCAGGTAACTTAGCGAAGTTGTGTCTGTAAATCCTGAGTCAAGTAGAAATAGAGAAAATGGTATTCTTCATAAGAAATGGTAGCTTTTGTCTCCAGCATACCATCTCGACTTTCTGTCGTGCACTGGCCCCCTGACCCTAGTGAAAAAGAAGGGAGCACTTCTCTGCCTCTGTGTGAGAAGCCTTTTCACGTGTGCCGATACTAAGGCCCCTTGAATCTGAACTAGGCCATAAGTGCCACGAGGGCGGGGACTTTGCTTGTACATACATACATGCCTAGGACCTGGAGCACTGCTGATGGGATGAATAAAGGGGAGTTTTAAAATATATTCATAAGGTAATAGTGTTGTTTCTGTGAAATGAATAATGAGTTAAGCTGGTTTTCCTGCAAGGCCTTGGATGTTGGGGTTTATAGATAGTAAAACAGTGACTAAGCACAGAACGTGTAGTCAGATGAGTTATAACCTCTGCTCTTCTACTTCCTATGTAACACCAGGCAAGTTACTTAGTGTCTCTAAATCTTAATTTTATCTTTCATAAATTAAGGTTAATAATGATAATATCTTTCTTATAGGCTTCCTGTGAGGAATGAAAAAGGTATGTTTATAAAGTGCTTTGCAGAGAACCTGCTACTTAGCTGTAAGAATTTATGAGGCTGCCATATGCTATGAGGTTATTAATCCAAAATGGAATTTGTCTGAGAGAAAGAAAATACCAGTATTTACAGTTGAGGCTTTATAAAGACAGAAAAATTCAACTAGCAGACATTTATAAAATAACATTGGCATTTCCAAAGATTCCAACTTATGATATATTCTGATAATAACTTACATTCATGCCTGCTATCTTGGCTTAATAAGAAGAAACACAGAGTTGAGCAAATCGGATGTGTCTCATTATATAAAATGAATATAGGCATGTCTGACGATAGAATGAATAGCAAGAACATTGACAAAAATGGGCAGATCCATTATTAAGATTAACTCTCCCAAAGTTATGTTATCAGCAATGTAATCACAGTGGTGAAATAGAATTTTTTCAAGATTCTTGAGGTATTAAACTTTAGGATAGAATAGTGGGTGTGTAGGGGTGTGTGTGCATGCATGCACGTGTGAGAGAGAAAGGGAGAGAGACAGAGAGGGACAGAAAGAGAAAGGAGGAGAGGAAGTAGGGGAGAGAGTGAGACAGAGGGAAGGGAGGAAAGGAGACAGGCTTTCGGGAGATAGATGCCAGCAACTCACACTCAAGGGAGTGGAGCTTGGTCCTTGTTGGCAAATATAGTGCAAAATATGGATACTCTTTATTATTTACCAAGCTGTTTCACATGTTAACATAAGTAATGAGCCTTGCAACATTATACAGGACATGCTTTTAATCCTTAACTAGGCACCAGGCACTCTACCTTTGGTTCACAGTGGGTACCTGTAAATTCTTCTCTATAGAGGGAGAAAATAGAGATCACGCTCTGCTTCTTGCAGCTGTTTTCCCCTTGGGGGGATTCCCCTGAGGCTTCCTCACCTGCACTGAAGGTGTCAGGACAGGCTACCTTCAGTAGCCTTGTTTGGGGTAGTTGTGGTGGTTGAACACTGTGGTATCTCACTCCTTGCAGCCAAAAGAACACAGACAAATACACATACACATACAGAATGCTGAAGACAATTTAAGCAGATCTTTTTAAAAAAATTGTGATAAAACGCACATAACACAAAATTACCATTTTAACCATTTTTAAGTGATTAAGAACTTTAAAACAGCTTAGTCATGTTACATGTATTCACATTGTTGTGCAACAAATCTACAGAACTCGTTCATCCATAAAACTGAAACTTAGTACCCACTGAACAAACAACAACCCACACCTCTGGCCCATGGAACTCACTGTTCTACTTTCTGTTTCTATGTTTTTCAGGTGAGTGGAATCATACAGTATTTGCATTTTTGTTATTGACTAATTTCACTTAGCATAATGTCCTCAAAGTTCATCCATGTTGTAGCATCTGTCAGGAGTTCTGTCTTTTTTAAAGCTGAGTAATGTTCCATTGTATGTATTTATCACGTTTTCTTTATGCATTCATTCATCAGCAGACATTTGGTTGCTTCTACTTCTTGGCTTTTTTGAATAATGTGATAAACATGGTTGGTTGTAGAAATGTCTCTACTTGCAGTACACTCCTTTATCTTAATTGTGCTTAAAAAGATAAATAATGAATAAGTGAATAAGTGAATGACTAAATGATGCCTTTTGGTTTTGGGTGTCTGTTGAGCTGACTTGTAAACTGGATGGCTTGTATTTGAGAAGTATGGAAAGGGCAGTTTATCAAGCAGAGACTTAGAATTCAAGAGCCAGTACCCATCTCCTTGCACATGGGAAGTCAGGATTGCCTGTTGTGGCTCTATTAGAGAGGACGTGGCAGGACCAGTAGTCAGGGCAATGGAAGGGGCACTATCTGTCATTACTAATGTGGAATATGGTAAAAGACAACAGAGATCAACAACAAAGAGTAAGAGACCAGGGCAAATGGATGTGTGCAAAAAACTAGGCAAGACTTTGGATATCAGGAACGGGACAAAAGCAGCAAGAAATGAGGCATTTATAGTTGATAAATTAATAATAGAAAACTATTAATAGTGCTAATAAGAGTTACATTTATTGATTACACAATCTGTGCCAGATACTGTTAAGTATTTTTTGTGCATTGTGTCATTTAATCCTTAATACAATCCTGGTGAGGTAAGTTCTATTGTTACTTTCACCTTACAGATGAGAAAACTAAGTCTCAAAGAAATTAAGTAATTTACCCAAGGACATGGTTACTAAGTGGAAGAGTTGGTTTCCAGACTCAATTCTGGTTGTAAGCAGATATGAACTGGACTGCATGCATAAGGGGATAAGTAAAACGTCACTTATTTCTCCATAATGAGCTTTGTAATGCATTTCCTGGTGTGTAACAAGTATCATTTATCATTTGATTAAGATTCAGTCAATGAACTTTGGATAAATGAGATATAAGCATAGTTTCTCTCAAATTCTGAAGCTGTTTCTGTATAAACAAACAAATAAAGGATGTAGGAGTGGAAATCTGAAGTTCTGAAGTTTTGAGAGACCCTGTAAACATTTTGTCCCCATATATAGTCCCATACTTACCATAATTAAGTCCTTGCTCAAAAACATTGTCACTGCTGAGAAGGGATTAGTGTTAACTGATGCCCATTTTAAGAGTTAAAAACATCTAGCTTCCAAGTCAGTTTTCTTTTGTTTTAATTTTGCAATCATATAGCTGGCATGAAAGTTTTCATACTGTGGAATAAAAGGACATTTGAGACTTTGGGACAGTGTTCAGAGACTTACAAACTTGCGAAGGAATCGCCTAGGAGGAGGAATTGCAAGATCTGTGGATGGGCAAGGGTTGGGTGGGATGGAAAGAATGATAGTTTTGGTGCCAGAAAATGTAGTATAATATTAGTTCTCTACTGACTCCAAAACTGCAATTAAAATTTTACCACATTTTCAGAGATACTGTGTGGTTCAAGTGAAATAATATGTGATTATACTTAGTAAAATGTAAATTTAGTAAAGCAAATTGTAGACATTTATTGTCACAGCTGAATTACTGATGTCCAGAATAAGCCCTTTAAATTTTTCATTTTTTATGCATGATAATAGTTCTAAGATTGATTCAAAGAGTCAAGAGAAATCCGTGAAGCAACTCAGCATAGCTTGAAATGGGGATTGTTCAACTAGTCAGGATGGGACATGGCACCATGCCTTTTCTTGGAGAAAATAACTTAACTGCTAATTCACCAATGTGGAGTTTGAGTGGCTGGAGCTTCAAGTTTCAGAAGCCACTCACAAGACCCACGAGAGGGAGCTCATGCACTTCCTTGGCACTGATGGTTAGCTTTCCAATATCTTATTCAAAGTAATTTGGGAGCTGAGGTGTGATACAGAAAATGGATCATAAGAAATGAACTCCTTCAAGAAAAATTATTGGGAGATATAAATTTAAGCTCTTTAATGTGTTTGAAAGTTCTTGGGAAAATTTTGGCCATAATCCCTTTTAACCAACTCCCTTAAAGGAAAAAAGAACTGCTGCTATCATTTTAGATTAATATTTCTGGCTTAACATCCATTCCAAATATTCTCTTCCTGGAAAAGAGCATTGAGAGCTGATGATCC